TCACTTTCTCATCTTGCTTGTTTTAAGAAGTTCTAAGAATTTCAGCACCCAGAAGGAGAGTGAAAAGCTAGAAAAAACAATTTATGGCACCAAATAATAATGAAAGGTTTAAATGTGTAACCTTGTGATTAAGCCCTTGAGCTTTAGAGACACAAAATCCTACTATGCATTTTATGTGCTGTGAGACGATAGGGAATTTACGGTATCTCTTCAGACTTTCTTGTGCTTATTTGTGAAGTATTTGTTTTTTATTTCTAGCTACCTCGTATTGTTATTCAGAAAACTGAATTCTATCATGCAGGTAAACGTCCAGCACATTCTAAGTTGCTAATCTTTTAATATCCTAATTTTGAAGGTATGAGAGGAAAATGAGAATTAATTCATAAAGTTCACTCTAGGATTCATTTTCTAAGCGTTGGAGGGATATGTTTGGTTGGAACTGTGAAAGCAAGTTAGAGATTCAGTTCAGTTCAGTTCAGTTCAGTCGCTCAGTCGTGTCCGACTCATTGCAACCCCAAGGACTGCAGCATCCCAGGTCTCCCTGTCCATCACCAACTCCGTGGTGGAGTTTACTCAAACTCACGTCCATTGAGTCAGTGATGCCATCCAACCATCTCATCCTCTGTCTCCCCTTCTCCTCCCACCTTCAATCTTTCTCAGTATCAGGGTCTTTTCAAAAGAGCCAGTTCTTTGCATCAGGTAGCCAAAGTATTGGAGTTTCAGCTTCAATATCAGTTCTTCCAATAAATATTCAGGACTGATCTCCTTTAGGATGGATTGGTTGGATCTCCTTGCAGTCCAAGGGACTCTCAAGAGTCTTCTCCAACACCACAGTTCAAAAGCATCAATTCTTCAGTGCATAGCTTTCTTTATAGTCCAACTCTCAGATACATACATGATTACTAGAAAAACCATAGCCTTGACTAGATAGACCTTTGTTGGAAAAGTAATGTCTCTGCTTTTTAATATGCTGTCTAGGTTGGTCATAACTTTTCTTCCAAGGAGTAAGTGTCTTTTAATTTCATGGCTGCAGTCACTATCTGCAGTGATTTTGGAGCCCCCCAAAATAAAGTCAGCCACTGTTTCCACTGTTTCCTCATCTATTTTCCATGAAATGATGGGACCAGATGCCACGATTCTGGTTTTCTGAATGTTGAGCTTTAAGCCAACTTTTTCACTCTCCTCTTTCACTTTCATCAAGAGGCTCTTTAATTCTTCACTTTCTGGTTAAGGGTGGTGTCTTCTGCATAGCTGAGCTAGAGATTAGATGAGGAAAAAAGATTGTGAACTCTTCACAGTGATCTTATGTGAATACACAGTTGGAATATAAATAGTATTGTAATATACAGTTGGAAATTTTGTTTTTTAAAAAATGTCTTCCTATTTGTGTGAGAATTGATGAGGTGAAGGAAAAGTAGAAAAAGTCTGATGAGTGTAAATTCTGCACAGTGAGCCAGGAATTTATTTTAGCTCTTTTCATATTTGAGGGTCTGGGAAAGCTGATCAATGGAAAGCAAGGGCCTACTTGTAAGACCACATACATATTTTTGTGAACTGGAATAAATATGTTTTCATAGACAGTGTCCTTGTAAGTCCTTTGTGCGAAAGGGAGGTAGCCTGGTGTATAGGTAAGATTATGACATTTGGATTTCAAAGGTATGAGTTGAGATTCTACAGCCATGAATATGAAAATCATGACTTTTTATATTCCTTGGTAATATTTATTTTACTGTTCTTAAAAGATTATAAATGATGCATATGAAAAAATAATTCAAATTTGTTACTTTTTAAGCAGATTTCAGTTGTTACTATTACATAATAATGATTGTAGATCATTAATAGTTAGATAAAAATATAAACTTCCTAAAAGCCTAAGATTAAGATCTCAAAGACTAAATTTACTTATTGGCTAATTTTCAACAGATCAGCTGATTACATTTCCTTATAATTTTTGTTTCTCAAGAGACACACTCCATCTGAGCAATTTCTCCTAAGTAAAAATAAGAGTAGTATGCTTTTTGCATGTGTGCTAAGTTGATTTAGTAGTGTACAATTGTTTGCAACCCTCTGGACTGTAGCCCACCAGGCTCCTCTGTCCATGGGGATTCTCCAGTGGATTGCCTTCCCCTCCTCCGAAGGATCTTCCCACACCAGGGATTGAACTCATGTCTCTTGGGTCTCCTGCATTGGCAAATGATTTCTTTACCAGTAGTGCCACTTGGGAAGCTCATCCATTTTAACAGGTGACAATCAAATTTGGAATAGAGATCTATTTTCTTTCTGCTTTTTAACTTAAATTGTTAAGATTATATATTGGCTTCTTTTATTATCACTCTAATTATCACATAGCTCCTGAAATATATTTTGTTTTGTGTTTTGAAAAACTAATAGATTATATTCTCTGCACTATAAAACTATATTGCTTTAGTTTATTATGAAATTATAGCTACAGTATGATATAATTCATACATATATATGTATGTGTAGGGCTTCCCTCATAGTTCAGTTGGTAAAAAATTCGCCTGCAATGCAGGAGGACCCCGGTTCAATTCCTGGGCCGGAAAGACCCACTGGAGAAGGGATAGGCTACCCACTCCAGAAGTCTTGAGCTTCCTTTGTGGCTCAGCTGGTAAAGAATCTGCCTTCAATGTGGGATACCTGGGTTCAATCCCTGGGTTGGGACGATGCCCTGGAGAGGGGAAAGGCTATTCACTCCAGTATTCTGGCCTGGAGAATCCCATGGCCTGTATAGTCCATGGGGTCGCAAAGAGTCTCACATGACTGAGCGACTTTCACTTTCATATGTATGTGTATAGATATATATTTCTATATGCTTGAAACTAGTTTATATGGCATTGAGTGGCTGTTTATAAAGACAGACTCTTTGGACTGGCTGCAATGATATATAAAGAAACAAGTTAATAAATATTTTTACTATACTCTGCCACTTAGTATGCTAAACTGTGTCCCTAATCATCTTCTGAGGGAAAACACAGATTTCTTAGCTAGATTTTTCTTGCAATAGAGACATCCAACGAGACAGCTCTGAAATGTGTGATTAACTTGAAATAATAGTGGCCCATAGGGTTTCAGGCTTTTCTACTTCATAACATTTTGGGTCTGTTATTACCTTAGGTGAACCCAATTCCCCAGGAAAGAAGATGCTGAATTAATTCTTCTGTGACTTATGTCATCAATATAGCTAAGATAGAAATAAAGCTGTGTTTCTCTACGCTTATGAGATTCTAGGTAGCTATTATTTAAACTTATTTCAGGAAAACAGCTAAATTTTTTATACCCTTATAATGCCAGCAGACTCTTAGAAATAAATCTTCCCATGGAGACAAATGAGACTAAATATGCACATATACTTGCACACGGGTGCATACACACATACACACACACACACACACACACACAAATTCAGTTACTGTGGGGAATTTAAGGGTACTGTTTTATTGGATTTTCCCTCATACAAGACATAACAAAATAAGAAGCTCCTTCAAAGTAAACATTTTTTTTCCTTACTGTCTTCAAGCACACCATGCAGGGGATGAACACTGTTTGATTTATAAAAGTTTTCAGGACACATTGCACATGCTATCTTCCTCAGTCTTAGTCAGGATTGCATCACGTACTTTTTCAGAACATTTATATTTAAAAATAATGAAAATCCTGTAATTTTTTTTGTTTGAGTAAAGTAGTAACATAAATCTTTGTACCATAACCCAAGATACATGTAAAAGCCATTTTAATCTGGTTAATAATAATTTGATAGATAAATTTAATTGGACTGTATTTTTGACTAAGTGAATAAATAACTTTTCCAAGCTATATCATTCTTCTAGGGTTCTTTAGATGCTGCTTTCTGAGTGGATGATATTATGTAATATTTTCTTAATTTACTTTGGAGTTAAGCAAGCAGTTACCTAATTTTTCCTTTGTCCTTACTTTCTTTGGAATTTAATGAAATTTATTCAATAAATAAATTTCTGTTAGTGTTACAAAACAGATGTGCCTATGAAATAAATGCAAAATAATTGAAAGAAAAGAATTAAATTTAAACATGCAAACATAAAAAGCTGTGTTACTTGACTGTTCTAATAGTATGGACAAAAATATTTGAAATAATGAAAAATTAGAGAAGTAATAGAAAGAATGAATGATATATAATCAAGAGATTTCAATCCAGAACAACTTCTTAACCTGGCATTTCCCAATGAGAGTTATGTGGAAAACTAGTATATATGATATACTGTTTTGTAATTTATTAATGAAGGTTTCCCCAAGAGTTTTATGATGAAAGAAATTTGGGAAATTCTGAATGTTTTATTTCTCTCTTATGAGTCATAGTGCATCTAAAGTTTCTGAGAAATTTCAAATTACTTGGAAAAAGGTAGATACTTTTTGTTATGGTAAAATATGCATAGCATCAAATTTCCCACTTTAAAATGTACAATTTAGTGTCAGTAAGTTCATTCATGATGTGTTACAGTCATCAGCACGGTCAAGTTCCAGGTAATAGCTTTGTAATTGTTAACTTGACCATGAAACAGTTTCCTACTGGAATAGCTTTTAATTTTGGTGTTTCCAGAGAATATATATGGAAATACTCATCTAATCTAGTCCTTTCATTTTAAAAGTTAAAAATGTGATCTTGAGAGGTTAAGTGCCTTGCTCAAGATCACACATGTAGTTCGGAGATAGCCAGTATTTCATGCAGGTTTAATTTTCAAGAAGTGGGCCTTTTCTATTTCAAGATATTTCCCCCTTGTTTCCATTTATGTGACCTGTGTGGATCTGACAATCCAGCCTACAGATAATACATTAAGATATACCCTAGAAGAATTCAGGGTTAAAACAAATATCTCTAATCTTTAAAAAGGTACTTTACTTTTAAATGCTATGCTTTACTTGCTTTATAACTCTCTCACTGTGATTTACTTATGAGAACTTTCATTATTAAGAACTCTTTTTAATTCACAGAATTCTGTTCTCAGGTCTTTTTAAGATTGTGGCTGATACAACTCCATACCTCACTATGGAAGAGATTACAAAAGCCAACCATATTAGACCAAGTAGACTGAATCACCCTTGCTTCTATCATCAGAAGGATATAAAACTAGAGAATCTCATCATAAAGCAAGGTGAGCGAATCATGCTCAACTCAGTGCAAGAGATCAATGGAGAAATAATGGTAAACTGTGGTGTGCTAAGGAATCATCAAAAGCACTCATTTACTTTGCCTTTGTCACAAGAAGGAGAGTTCTATGAGTGTGAAGATGAACATATTTATACCCTAAAGGAAATTATCCAATGGAAGATCCCCAAGAACAGAACACGAACTGTGATACTTACAGGTTTTTCAGCTAAGTGGGACTCAACAAATCCATTCCCTAGAGGCTTTTATGGAGCTGTGATTCTCAAGCCTGTTTATGAACTCCAAGGTGTGATGAAATGTAAGTATCTACTGAGAATGAAGCTTTATGAGCAAGTTTGTGGGGTTTGGGAAAGAGGAAGATTTTAGTCTAAAGAATGAAACTATGTCCCTACTTATCCATTAAGCCCATTGAGAGTTAAGATTCTCATCTGTAAATAAGCAAGCCATGTATTTGTTTCAAGAATCAAATTCAATAGTGTATTTAAATGAATATTTTAAATTGTGTAGTGCTATCCAAATGTAAAATGCTGTAATTATCAGGTACAGACAGATTAAAATATTGATTTATTTTTTATCACTGTCAGTTAAACATGGTCAAAAAAAGAGTTACATTTTAGAACACAGCATAATTGGTTAGAAATAAGCTTTCTCATATTGTTATTGTTGTTGTTCAGTTGCTAAGTTGTGTCTGACTCTTTGTGACCCCCATGAACTGCAGCACACCAGGCTTCCCTGTCCCTCAATATCTCCCAGAGTTTGCCCAAATTCATGTCCATGGAGTCAGTGATGCCTTCCAACCATCTCATTCTCTGTTGCCCCCTTCTACTCCCCCTCAATCTTTCCCAGCATCAGGGTCTTTTCCAATGAGTCGACTCTTCACATCAGTGACTAAAGTTTTGGAGCTTCAGCACTAGTCCTTCTAATGAATATTTAGGGTTGATTTCCTTTAAGATTGACTGCTTTGATCTCCTGGCTATCCAAGTGACCCTCAAGAGTCTTCTCCAACACCATAGTTCAAAAGCACCTATTCTTTGGCACTCAGCTTTCTTTATAGTCCAACTCTCACATACATACATGACTAATGGAAAAACTATAGTGTTGACTGTATGAACCTTTGTTGGCAAAATGATGTCTCTGCTTTTTAATATGCTGTCTAGGTTTGTCATAGCTTTCCTTCCAAGGAGCAAGCATCTTTTAATTGCATGTCTGCAGTCCCTGTCCACAGTGATTTTGGAGCCCAAGAAAATAATATCTGTCACTGTTTACACTTTTCCCAATCCATGTGCCATGAAGTGATGGGATTGGATGCCATGATCTTAGTTTTTTTAATGTTGAGTTTTAAGCCAGCTTTTTCATTTTTCCCTTTCACCCTCATCAAGAGGCTCTTTAGTTCCTCTTCATTTTCTGCCTTTAGAGTGGTATCCTATGGATATCTGAGGTTGTTGATATTTCTCCTGGAAATCTTGATTCCAGCTTGTGATTCATCCAGCTTGGCATTTTGCATTATGTACTCTGCATGTAATTTTAAAAAGCAGGGTGACAATATACAGCCTTGATGTACTCTTTTCCCAATTTTGAACCAGTCCATTATTCCATGAGCAGTTCTAACTGTTGCTTCTTGTCTGCATGTAGGTTTCACAGGAGACAGGTAAGGTGGTCTGGTATCCTCATCTCTTTAAGAATTTTCCAGTTGTGATCCACACAGTCAAAGGCTTTACCATAGTCAATGAAGCAGAAGTAGATAATTTTTTGGAATTCCCTTGCTTTTTCTATGATCCAATGGATGTTGGCAATTTGGTTTCTGGTTCCTCTGCCTTTTCTAAATCCACCTTATACATCTGGAAGTTCTTGATTCACATACTGTTGAAGCCTAACTTGAATGATTTTGAGTATTACCTTGCTAGCATGTGAAATAAGTGCAGCTGTATGATAGTTTGAACACTCTTTGACATTGCCTTTCTTTGGGATTGAAATGAAAACTGGCCTCTTCTAGTTCTGTGGCCACTGCTGAGTCTTCCAAATTTGCTGGCATATTGAGTGCAGCACTTTAACAGCATCATCTTTTAGGATTTTACATAGCTTTCTTGTATGGAGGTGTTCAAAAATGATAAGGATGCAAAGTTACCTTAATGTGTCCCTTACTGTTATTTTGTGAGAGCCTTTTTTCTTTTTTTTAGCCATCCATTACTGGTCATAAATCTTCCTATCAGCTGAGAATTCCTCTGACTTAAGGGAAAACAATGTGACAAATTAATTCATACAAAAGTGTGAGTTAAAAGTTATTGAAATATATTTGATAATGTTAGCTTTAGGTAGACAGCATAGTGATTCAGTATTTTATAGATTATACCATCTTTAGAATTATTAAAAAATTAAGGCTATATTTCCCTGTGCTGTACAATATATCTTTGTTGCTTATCTACTTTATACATAGTAGTTTGTATATCTTAATCCCTTATCCTGTCCTGCCACTCCCCTTTCCCTCTCCCCATGTGAATGTATTTCAATATGTAATCCTCATAAGATTTTAAAAATTGTATATTTTTGAACTTTTTATTTTATGTTGGAGCATAGCTGATTAACAGTGTTGTGGTAGTTTCAGATTGACAGCAAAGGGACTCAACTATGTGTGTGTGTGTGTGTGTGTGTGTGTGTGTGTGTGTGTGTGTTCTCCAACTCCTCTGCCTTCCCGACTGCCACTTAACATTGAGCAGAGTTCCTTGTGCTATACAATAGGTCCTCATTGTTTATCCATTTTGAAAATAGCAGTGTATACACGTTTAGCCCAAACTCCCTGTCTATCCCTTACCCTGATCCTTTCCCCCTGGCAACTGTAAGTTCTCCTTCACCAAGTCTGTGAGTCCGTTTTGTAAATAAGTTCATTTGTGTCATCTCTTTTTAGATACTGCATATAAGGGATGTCATAAACACTTCTCCTTCTCTGACTTACTTCACTCAATGTGACAGTCTCTAGGTCCGTTCATGTTGCTGCAAATGGCATAATCTTCATGAGATTTTTGCATTTTAAAATAGGAATAGCTGGATAGAGCCTTGTAATCCTAAAGAAATTAACACCTTGACTTTTTAAGATTATGGCACATAAGCAGGGCAAGTATGGAGCCAAGAGGTCTGTATTTTCAGTCAGAAGTCCTAGATTCTAACTCTTGTCAATAACTGGTTAATATGACAAAAAATTGAAGTCACAATAAACTTTAGACATTACATTAGTGTTCTGGCAGCTTTCACAAAATGTACAATCAAAACTGGTAACTGGATTTTCCTCAATTTTCATAAATAATGGGTTGCATTTTCTCATTTTAAAATCAGTTTTTCTAAAACCATTGGCAGCTCCTATAATGCAGATGCAAACGAAAGTGAACCCAGAACCTAAATATATGAACAAGATAGCTATAATATTTAATAAATTTATGTTAGGTATCACAAAAGCCTTCACTGAGAAAATGACATGTAAACTGAGATCTGAAGGCTGACTAGGAGATGGGCAGGTAGAGAAAGAGAGGACAACGTTGGAGGAAGCAGATGTAGCTTACAGGAAAGGAGATAAGCAAGAGATTGTGGTTCGAGTGCAGCTGACATGAGAAAAAAGAGAAGGCAGGTTGAGACAGCCATCAAAGCGTGCAATGGAGGAGTAGAATCAGGCATGGTGGGTCTTGAAATATATGAGTTAAGTAAGGGATTAAATAGGGATTAAATTTGTCCAAAGGGCAAATTAAGAGAGATCTTCCAGCTGGATAAACAAGATAGAAGTGTAGTGAGGCCGCTTGTTCTATGGCAGAGTACTGAAAAGTTAATATAGTGGTAACCTGAGAGGGACAGCTGTTCTTAATGGGTATTTCAGAAGTACATTCAGCCAGAGCTCAAGGTCTGTTGGGAGTGGAAAGAAGTCAACCTCATTGCTAAGCTTCTGGCTTGATTTGGTGGCTGAATAGTGGTGCTGTTTAGTAAATATTAACATTGACAAAGAGCAAGGGATATTGACTGAATTGTTTAGACGGACTTAAATATGATTTCATGCTAATAACTAAGGTCCCAGAAGAAATTGCCTTTGGGTGAAATAAAATCCTTCCCAAAAGGTTTTAATAAATTTCTATTCTTTAATAATATTAAAATTGGATTTTGATTTAAATTATTTTGGATCTTTGACTTTTAGGGATTATTTTAAGCATTAGCTCTTATTGTACAGAAATTTCAGGATTCTGTATGAGACTGCTTTACCTGTATACTGACTGCTGCGTATTTCCTGAAAATGGATGCTGGGTGTTCAACACAAAAAAGTCCAATTTTAAAAATTGTTATTATAGGCATTTTTCTTCTAAAGATAAAATGTAGACTTTTAAATTTTATTTTCAGCATACTTTTAAAAATTTTATTCGAGTACAGTTGATTTATAATGTTGTGTTAGTTTCAGGTATAAAGCAAAGTGAATCAGTTATACTTATACATACATCCACCCTCTTTGAGACACTTACATACATCCACTTATTGCAGAGGATTGAGTAGGGGTCCTTTTACTGCCCGGCAGGTCCTGATTAGTTTTCTATTTTATGTCTAGTTGGGTGTGTATGTCAATCTTGATCTTCCAATTTATCCCTCCTCCATCTTACCCCTTAGTAAGTTTGTTTTCTACATCTATAATTCTGTTTCTTTTTATACATAATTCTTTAGACTGCTTTTTAATCAACTGTGGTCTTGTGTTACATTATTCTTTTTTTATACTGAAGAGTTAAACTTGCCTTGAAGTCACGGGCACGTGCTCTGCTAAGTTGTCTTTCAATGGCTTTGAGTGTCTGACATAGTTCAAACTCCTCTTGAATCCTGCTTTCCTGAAGTGATGAGAAAAAGAATAGATCTGAGTTAGGAACAGGGAACTTTAGAGAAACCTTAGAGCAAAAAGGAAGATGAAAAATATTGAGAGCTATAGGAAGCTATTAAATTATTGGCTAATTCATTTCAATGTATGACAAAAACTACTGTAATGATGTAAAGTAATTAGCCTCCAACTAATAAAAATAAATGGAAAAAAATTATTGTTTGTTGAAAAGAGAACATAGCAAGTAAATAGAGAAAAAAGAAATGTAAGATATTCTACTCCTAATGCTAGTTTTTAACATTATTAATGAGAAAATTTAGACTTCACTAAAAAAAGAAGTAGCTGAAAGTGTTTAAATGAAATATTTGTTTCTGGAAATCCTTGGTTGTATTTCCATTATAGGCCAAACCTTTCTAACTCTTACCATACATTTAATGATTTTTTCAAAAGCTAAATCTCTTTGGGAA